TCCACAACTGTTTATGGCGTAAGGATTCAAAGCTGAGCAAAATGTTCCTGCCCTCTTGAAGCTTAGGATTTTGAGGGGAAATAAGCATTAATCAAATACTTCTGCTAATAAATATATAATTACAAGCAGAGATAAGTTCCCTAAAGAAGAGGAACATGGGTCAATGAGACCGTAAAGCAAAGGAAAAGATATATACTAGAGGCAGGGAGGAGGGCAGTCAGGACTTCAGGGGTGTCACAGGAGATGACAGGTGAAGCATTGGGTAGGAATAAACCAGGTGAAAGAGAGAATGCACTGCAAGCCAAGAGAATCACAGCCATCTGTCAGTGTAAAAGCAACAGATTAGCAGAGATAATCCTGTCACTGGTTGTTAAAGAAATGCAAAATAAACAGCTACCAGATGTTACATTTTACCTATTAGATTAACAAAGTTTTAAAATTTTTTATTGCAATGGTATGGTGAATATTCATAGATTGCAACTAGGAGTGTAAATTAATACAACTTTTCTGGAAAGTAAGTTGACAGTATGTTTCAAATATCCTAGGAAAAGAGAGAGAACTAATGCATAGTGTAATGAATAGAGACAATAATATTGTACTACTAAAAAAAAAAGTCCTAAAAATGATCATACTTGTTGACAAAGTATTTCTCCTTCTAGGAATCTAGCCTAAGCAAAAATAAATCAATAAAAAAATAGATATGCATTTATGTACAAGGGAGGAGATAGCTCAGTGGTAGAGTGCCTGCCTAGCATGCACAAGGTCCTGGGTTCAATCCCCAGTACTTCCAGTTAAAAAAAATAAAGTAAAAAAAATAGATTTATGTACAAAATATTCATTGAAGCATTATTTCAAATGTTTAAAAATTAGAAAAATAAGGAAAACAAAGTATTACAGCTATATGGTAGAATATTATACAGCTAATAGTATACATGCAGGATACATCACTTTTTTAATCAGAGAAAAGAATCCAAATAAAATGTCCCATTGCCAACAAACTATTATAGTGTTCAATGCATAATTTGTTATTTAATTACTACTTGTTGAATAAAAATTCATGATTGACAACAAATATGATTTATAAGTTCCAGATGTATTACAAGATTTTAATGTATATCCAATTTTGTATTTGTATACACAACTGCCTACTTGACAATTTCCACTTTGATGTTTCATAACACCTCAAACTTACTGAGTTCAAAATCAAACCCCTATCCCTTCCCCACCTCTCTAACTCCTTCCCTTTCAGGCTTCCCCATCCCAGTCTTGAGCAACCCAGGCTATCTTGAGTCTTTCTTGTTGTCTCCATCCACTCACCCTACAAGTCTACTCATTTCTGTCTCCAAAATCTGTCCATTTCTCTGTCTCCTTTGCTACCAACTTATTGCAGGAGTCTGTCTCCTGGACCAATGCAATAGCTTCCTAACTGATCTCCTTGCTTTGAATTCCCTCCAAACCATTCTCCATCCAATAGATAGTGTGACCTTATAAATATAAAAACTGAGTCAAGCCATTCCCCTGCTGAAACCATTTCAACAGCTTTCCACAGCATTTAAATAACATTCAACATCCTTTCCATGACCTACAAAATAATCGCTAACTTATTATGGGCCAGATAATTATTCTAAATGCTTTCCATTTACTAACTCAAGGAATCCTAACAAGAAGGCTATGAAGTAAGTATTCTTACAATTTCTAATTTACAGACAAGGCAAATGAGGCATAGAGGTTAATTTGCCCAGGGTCTCTAAGTAACAATGGAGGCAGGGTTCAACCCCAGGCAGTCCAGACGCTGCTCTTGGCACCACAAGCCACACCCAGAACTCAGCTGTGCTCACAGGGATCCTGTGGTCTGGCCTCTAGGCTCCTGGAACCCAGCAAACGTATTTGTGCCCTGGCTGATTTCCTCCCAGGAACATTGTTTTCATAGCTTTTTAAATAGCTGGCTTCTCATCTTCTTAAAAAGGGAATGGTAAAATAAATCATGGCACTTATTTACAATGGAATACTATACAAATACTTTTTAAATAGGAGCCAAATCTATATATGCTAATATGGAAAGATATTTAGCGTATTTTAGATCACTAAGTGAAAAAAGCCAAGCAGCAGAATAGCATGTTAAAATAAAAGAATGTGTATGGCATGATTCCATGTGTTTTATTTAAATTTTTTTATATTTCTATCTATCAAAGGTCTAAAACTTTATACACTAATTTTTTAACTGAGGTAACCTCTGAGGAGTTAGACTGGGAAAGGAAAAAGGAATGGGAAAGAGAATTTTCACTTTTTACATTGCATACCTACTGTTTGAATTTTTCTATCCCCAGCCTATATTAGTAGTGTAATAATAATTCTAAAACAAATATTTTCCTTATATGTTAAATGCCTGAGTGTTACATTTGTTATTTTGGTATTCTAATTTTTGCTACTTTTATCCCTCTCCCAGTTTTCTCTAGGTAGCTGGAGAAAGTCTCTAATTTAATTCTTTTATTTTTTTATAAACTGAGTTTTTCTTTAGTGCTCAGGACACTCCAAAGTGGTTATTTTACTGCAACTATTTACATTATACAGCCATAGTCATCATACTAACCAAATGTTTTCTTAATTTCCCCTCAGTTCTAAGCTGGTTCATGAAAATCAGCCTTAACTAAGTCTCCAACTTTTGACTTCCACATTCATGTTTCCAAACAATAAATAGATGTCAGTTACTTTATCTGCTCTTAGTTCTCCTAGTGTTATGAGTCCAAGCTCATACTGCTCGCCACACGACAGGCCAATAAACTGAGAGACCGGTTGCTGGGGCAAGGAATAGTTACTTTATTCAGAAAACTAGCAGACTGAGAAGACAGCATATGAATGTCCCAAAGACTCACCTTACCCAAGTTAGAATTTAGGCTTTTTTTTATACTAGGGATAAGAGGGGTGCTGGTTGGTGCCACCCAAACCCTAGAAGGGACATGATAATCCTTTGTTCTTGTAGCTGTCCAGGTAGCTCTGGTTGAGATGTTCCTGTAAACCTCCAACAAGATAAATGTTATTTTCTGTTTTGCAACTTTTTAATCTCTATATGAATGAAAAGTGTTATGGCCTTAAAGGTCAAGCCTGAGAGGTAAAGCTTTGAAAAAGCACTCTAATGTCTATTTCAGGCTATAGGCAACATTCTTTTAGACAAAAGTACAGAACCAGCATGACTAAGCACAGGCAACAGAGTGCAAAGTTTAGAACTAAAAGAATAGATCCAATATGGAGCCTGGTTTGTTCTTGTCTGTTACGTGAAGACCCCCTCCACATCACTCTTTTGAGGATTTTGCTTATTCAGTGTAAGGTTTTCTTGTCCATCTCTATGCAGCTAATTTCAATTCTGTATATATATTCCACCCAGATCTTCCCTGAGCTGCAGACTGTAATAACCAGTACTCACTGAACATCTTCATTTCAATGTCCCAAATTGAACTCATCATTCTGCCCCACCTTCCCTTATTTTCCTTCCTAGTTAATGGTACCATTGTTCTTTCACTTGGTCACCTAAGCCAGAACCTAGAAGTTGGTCTACGTTTTCTCTCTCCTTCACTTCCACAGCCCAATTGTATCTTGGGGGACTACTCCTGGGAGCAATTCTGAATCAGTCAGGGTCCAATCAGAAGAGATAAACTACACAGTAATATGAACAGAGAAAATTTAATATAAAGAGACATTGGGGGAGAGGGCCTAGACTCTATAAGGAGACATAACAATTAAATTTGGGGCTGGCCTCTGGCTTTCCTCTAAGCTGTGGGAGTAAGCCTCAGTTAGAAAGTACTTCCAAGTGGGCACATTATTTCCTCCTGCATGATTATCCCCTACCAAGACACAAAATTTTCATGGTCATTTTTCACTATCTCTTTTCCTTTTATTCTCATATTCCCATCAAGACCAGTCAGGTGCACTCTTTCAGTCTACCTACTCCATTCTTGCTGCCATGGGAATCCAATCCTCCTCACTTCATATTTACTGTATAGGAACCATGTTCCACATAGCCACTCATTCATCATCTAGGCTGTATGCTGAAGATCAGACATGAATTGACACGTAAGCCTTCCAGCTAGACCTCCATGTCTTCACCAGGACAATCTTATCTGCTTTCAGCAAGTAAGCCCCCTCCTCAGGGACCTATAAGGCACGCTGTTGCCCACCCAACAAATTCTAAATTCATACTTTGCTTTCTTTCATTTACTCAACAAGTGTTATTGAAGTGTTACCACATGCCAGGCAATGGTACTAGTTATAAAGAGGTGGACAAACTAGGCATGAGCCCTGTCCTCAAGGAATTTAGTCTAGTGAGAAAGACAGACACAAAAGCCAAAATCACACAAGTAATAATCACTGTTGTATTGTATAATCACTATTGTTTAATTACAATTGTTATGAATGATATGAGGGGTGCTTATGAGCATATAAACAAGAGATCTAATCTAATATAAACCAGGAAGCAAGACAAGGCCTGAGATCTAAGTAGGGGCCCAGGTTTAGGTGTGTGTCAGGAGTGGGGGTTGTTAAATGTTCCAGGAAGAGGGAACAGTTCATTCAAAGTTTCAGGGTTGAGGGTACATGGAGTGGGAGAAACTGTTTGCCTATAGCATAGTAATCAAGGAGCAGAGTGGCAGATAAGGAACAGATCATGCGGAGAATTGCAGATTCTTTAAAGGTTTTTGGACTTTGTCCTAAAAGTTATGAGAAGCCATTGGATAACTTGACATGACATACTTTTTGCTCTTAACATTTTATTGTGAAAATTCAAACATAGTGGAGAGAATTGTACAATGAACACCAATATTGTTGACTCACATAGATTTTACAATTAACATTTTGCTCCTAACTAAATTTTTAAATTACATCACATTGACAACTATGAAGGTGTTAAAAAGGAGGAAATAAATTTAATCTCATCATCTCAGGGAGGATACAGAAAGTTTAGAAATGGTACAGCCTAGCTGACATTATGATTAGAAATTTTTTTCTTGGTTTATCACCAGCATTTATAAAACCAGACCTAGGGAAATAACTAGGTCTGGGGACACATACATGGTCTTGATACAGCAAATATTTAGCCTTGATTAGAAATTATTAAATGCACAAAAGTACAAAGGATCATTGAAAAATTCCAAACACAATTCTTGGGGAAAAGTGTACTACAGTTATTTTCTTCACATACACCCTATTTCACTTTATCTTTGTGAACTATGTCTCCAGCTCCAAGGTAATGGTTTAAATCTTTTTATAACCCAATTTCTTCTTACTAGGACTTGAAATACAGTGTTTCAGGAGGTAAAACTCCACAAACACTTTAGTTTCTAAGATAATTTGCACTTCACCCGACAGTGAGTTGATGAAGCCCTGATAAATGATGGCAAGGGAGATGGAGGGGGAAAAAAAGATAAATTGAAAAAAAAAATATGGGAAGTAAAACTGATGGGATGTATTAGCTAATTAAATGAGGGGAAAAGAAAAGGAAGTTTTAGCAGAGATGTTTAGAGGGCAAAGGGGGAATAGATTATTAAAACAATTATTTTAATCTTGGATATGTTAATTTGTATAAGCCTCTGAAATAAGCAGGTGAATATTCCAGTAGGCAACTAGAATTTAAGCAAGTAACTGCAAAGGGCAGTGGTGTTCAAGGCTATAAATATAGATTTGAAAACCAAAGGCATATAGGTCCCTACATGATTGAAAGGATGAAAGCATCCTTTGAAAGGATGAAAGCAGATGAGGTTGGCTGTGGAGAGAATGTAAAAAGAGCAGACAATTGTCATTTCTTGAGTCATCACCAAATCTCTGGGTCTCAGGTATCTTAAATAATGATGCTGTTCCAGATGACTATTTTAAACCAAGCAAGAATCAAATTGCCAATTCTTACAACTCAATAATAAAAAGAGTAATAATGGGCAAGGTATCTGAATAGACATTTCTCCAGAGACGATATACAAATGGCTGATAAACACATGAAACATCATTATTAGGGATAGGCAAATAAAAACCACAATGGTATACCACTTCACACTCACTAGGGTGGCTGAAATTAAATGGCAGTTCCTCAGAAAGTTAAACATAGAGTTACCATACGGCCCAGTAATCCCATTACTAGGTGTATTCCCAAAAGAATTGAAAACATTCATACAAAAACTTGCCCGTGAATGTTCATAGCAGCATTATTCATAATAGCTAAAAAGTGGAAACCATCCCAAAGTCTACCAACTGATGAATGGATAGATAAAATGTGATACACCAAAACAATGGAATATCATTCAGCAATAAAGAGGTATGAAATACTGATACATGCTACAGCATGGATGAGCCTTGAAAACTTTATGCTAAGAAGTCAGTCACAAAGGACTTCATATTACACGTATGATTCCATTTATATGGAATGTCCAGAATAGGCAAAACTATGGACGAAGAAGATTAGAGATTCCTTAGACATGTGAGGGTGGGGAAGTGTGAGGGAGGATGAGACATGACTATTAATGATAGGTTTGTTTTGGGGAGGCCATAAAACTGTTCTAAATTTGTCATGACGGTTGCACAATTTTGTAAATATAAAAACCACTTGAATTGTACATTTTAAATAGGAGTATTGCATGGTATGTGAATTGTATCTCAAGGCTATTTAAAAAACTGAAATGGCCCTGTTATCAAAGTACGTCACCAGCCAGAGACCATAATTTTTTTTTAATTGGGTGGGGAAATAACAGGCACAGACAAATGTCGGAACTTCCAAGTTTGGGCTCTTTCCACTCTATCATGCTATAGGGGTGATGGCAGAATTAATCTTCATTCTTTGTGATACCATTATAGTCATACGTCTCTCTAACACTTAAAATCATTGTTTGCAAATGTTATGCTTAACAGTTCTCCCTTATTAGACCACCGAAGTCTTCAGATCAGAGATTCTGTCTGATTTCTGAGCATCAGTGTCTTGGTAAAGTGTTTCGGCATTTAACAGATGTTCAAGTGAAGCTTTTTCAGGTAGAAAAGATCCACAACTGAGGCTACCTATTTAAAAGCAAAGCACGGAATCCAGTATACAGATAACCGCCCTCCCAACCAAAGGCAGGCACAAAAAAAGAGAAACTAATAAAGCGGAAGAAAGGAAAGATGGATAGGAGAAAAGTGGGCATCGCCTCCCTCTGCCCTCAAGGACGGTTTTCTTGTACAGTTCCAGAAGGAATTGAGGCGCGGCGGGTGACTTCACTATGCTCCATGACGACCACCACTGAGGCGCGCTTACTTTCCCGCCTCAAAGAAACCCGGAGATGGGGTTAGCGCTGCGCAAGGGGCGGTGCTTACGTCACGTCCGGTTCGGGACGAGCCACTGCTGGAAAGGGAAAGCGGGGAGCGAGGGGTGGAGCCAAGAAAGCGCGCCTTCTGGGAAGGGGTGGGGCCTGGTTAAAGAGCGCCGCGTCACATCCGGGAGACTTAGAGCCCGTGCGGAGGCGGTACGGTGCGCTTCGCTTCTCAGCGTCTCGGGAACCACTGCGTGGTGCGAGGCTGCGGCGGAGCCTCTAGACAGAAGGCGCAAGAGGTTGGCAGCTTCGATTGAAGCACATCGAGCGGCGAAGGCAGACAGGAGTCATGAGCGACAGCGGCGAGCAGAACTACGGCGAGCGGGTACGTAGGGCCGGTGCAGGGGGTGGCTGTGTGGTTCCCAGCTTCTCTCATCTTTTTCCAGGCCCTTCGGCCTCGGAGCGGGAGACCGGGGCGACTTAGGCTCCGAAGTCTGAGGCCGGGAAGGATGGGAGTCAGGGATTGAAGAGCCCTTGTGGGTAGTCGCTTTAGTCGTGAAGGAGGCCGCCGGCGAGTTTTGGTGGCCCCATACCCGAAACGGCGGTTTTTTCCGTTATAACAGGGGGAGAGATTAAAAATGGCCGCTGCGTCCCCTCGGCGGTGGGGGAGGGGAGCGGTATCTAGTTTCGCCGTTGCTCTCCTGCGAAGCCTCGTTGCAGCCATCTTGGGCTGGCGGGCTGGGCGCCCTGCCAGAGGCACAAAATGGCGGAGGAGCCGCGCGTCAACGCGGGCGCGACCCGCCGCCGGGGATGGAGGCGGACCCGCAGTGTGAATTGGGGTCTTTCGCTTGGTATTTAGATTGAGACAGGGCCTTCCTATGGGCCCCGAAGGGATGGAATCGAGGGTCTTACTGGGGTCTCTTTTGGGTGGGGAAATCTCGTCTGAGGTAGACTTGAGTTCTGGGCCCGTTAGTTTGAGGGAATTGCGCGCGGGCTTTGTTCGACCTAAGTGGAGTGCTTTTCTTTGATACTGAAAGGGCTTTTAGGCCCAAATTCGTTGTCGGTGCCAAGTGGATTGCGAAGTCGCTGGGGTTTTCTCGTTTTATGGAGTAGATATTTTCCCCACCGGAGGGTGGAGGAGAAATTGGCGGGCAATAATTTATGGCGTCGTTGTTTCCTTTGTTTTGAGACATTCAGACTCAGTGAGCCACGACTTGTGTTGGTACACTTTAAAGTCTCCATTCTAAAATGTGGAGTTCGGTAAGGGTTGAATAAACTGCAGGAATAAGACAGTCCCCGAGCTTTGAAAGCATGATGTAAAATAAAGCTTGGTTGCAGGGCTGTGGGTACAAACAGGCAAAAATGTAAGGCTTGCCAGAATCTTCAATATTTGGAGGTTAAGGAAATTTGTTAGGAAAAGGGTAATAAAAAGCCCCAGAGAATTTGATTTGATTTTTTTAACTTGATAGGATTAAACTGCGTGTCTTTACCGTCTGTTACCCGTTATTTTCAGGTAAATCTTGAAATATTTTAGCAAACTCATAAAACGGATTTTAGGTGGTTCATTACAGGGGCGTTATTAGAAACTTTTATCTTAACTCTTGGAATCTTAATGAATTTACGGTGCAGCTTTGGAACCAAATCTGGTTAATTTTATTTGAACTAATCAGGCTCCGCTTTTACCTATTCAGATGAATGTTGGCTGTTTTTCCTTTCCGTAAGAATTGATCCACTATCACCAGTGTGTGGGATCGTTTAAGCCCTTTCTTAGGGTAAGAAAGCTTGGATCAAACTCACAAGTTATTAAAGTTGTGGCTTATGGTTTCTGCCAGTTGAATATGAATATACTGTTGAAACTAGTCATCGGTATTTGGGCTGGGAAACAAATGTTAATTTTTAAAGTCTAAAGTTACTAAAATTACTGTGTTGTTTTGAGAGCACAAAAGGGTCTCTGACTAGAGGACTCTCGAGTTGAATAAACCTGAGTTACTTGTGATGGTGTGCTTGTGAAGGTGAAAAATTGTCTGAAGGAAGTTATATTTTATTTAAAGGAGGAAACAATTCCAGGAATTAGGTTCTTGATTGAGACAGGTCAAGAGACATTGTCCTCCAACTAATCAAGTTTTTGAACTGGCATTTTCTATTAGGATATATATCCTAGTGTTTCTCATATCTTGTTCCATAAAACGGATATTCACTAAATTCTTGTGAAAAGAAAGTTATAAATTAAAACTACGTGTTAAAAATTGGTATTTTTGTCTTAAATAAGAGTCTTGATTTCCTGGGAGAGATTTCTGGACTTTGAAGTTGTAGAATATCTCCACATAGTTTTGTTTGGCGTTTATTATGTGTGTAGATTGCTTTCAAGTTGATGTATTGGAACCTGAAGTGATTAGAATAGCCCTAAAACAAAACAGGTTTGCACTCAAAAAATGCTTGCCAAAACCATAAAGCTCAATACTGCAGTTTAAATACAGTTTAAATACATAAAAAACACTAGGTACAACAGTTGGGTCTGATTGTTAAAAACTTTTGAAAGTGCCTAAAAACGGTAGGGGGAAAAGTTGCATTCAGGATGATGATCTTGGACATGACCTGGTATGAATAGCTTCTCTGGAGCCTGAAAAATTACTTTCATTCCACTCTAAGCTTTCAAACACTCCAAATTGTTAATGTAGGTCACTAATACTTAGAGGTCTAATCAGTTAGTGTTAATGTCACTGACATCTTTTCAGTTCAGCTGGAATTCTCCACCCCCATCAGTAGCTCTGGAAATGTTTTTTCCCTCGCTCCTTTAGACTTTAGAAGTTCTCTTCCTAAAACAGACGGGAGGGGAGTGGTGCGAATGGGGAATAAATTATCCTCTGTCTGATTGTTCTTAGTGTACTTACTGTGAATATTGGCACTCAGAGATGCGGTTCTTTGTGTTCCCTTGTCTTTTAAATGTGCAGTGTATGCGTTCCTGAATTTTTGTTGTTCATTTCACACTTTGTTAGAATCTACATTTTACCTGTAACGGATTTTCCTTGTCAGAGTTGATTTAAATTGAAGATTTGTTCCTAATTAAAGCTAACTTCCCTGATATGGTCATACCCATGTAAAGTAAAATATTTTTAATTTCCAAATTAAAGTTTCTTCCAGTAGTTGCCCAAAATTGCCTCTCCCCTCCACCCCCAAGAGGTCGACTAGCACCTTTGGGAAAAGGGGACTTTCTTAGCTAGCAGTTATGTCATTTCACAATTTGGAAGAATAAGAACATGATAGAGTTCGTAGCTAGGTTTAGTGTTGCATGGTAATGTTGAGGGGGTGATAAATCTTAAAGCCCAGTAATGGTCACAGTGTTTGGGGTATGGTGAGGTTTGGATGTTGGGTCTTGGCACCTTGTAATGTCCTATCCTCCTAATTTCTTTAGCTTCTACAAGTGGGTCTTTACCTAGAGAATCCAGAAACTAAGTAAGGAAATGCTTTTTAGACCATATCATTTTAACTTGTCACTATCAGTATTACAATAAACACTGAGAGAATATTGCTTATTATTTTTTGTAGAAGTAATGTGTTTGTAATATAGGTATATTATCTTTAGTCTTATTCTCTATGGAGATAAATAGCATCTGGATACCATTCCATCAAACTGCTTTTCAGATTCTGCAGTTTTTCTCTTCTACTTAATCTTGGGTTTTGGGTTTTGGTTTTTTTTTCCCCCAGTTTTTTGTTTTTAGCTCCTAACTCTAAATTTGAATTTTCAAAACTGAAACTTTTCAGTCTGTTTCTTCCTAAAGGATTGTAGCCATTGCACCAAGTTTCTTTAAAGTATTGAATTAATTTTGGGTGGGAGGAAATAGTTCACATTGTTTTGTTTCACTGTGAGTCTGGTTAGGTACAAATCTCTTGAAACCAGGTGGAAGACTGTTTTTCTTGGTTTTAACTAAGACTTTTAAATATTGTGGATATGGTCTGGACCTAGAAGGTGGCATTTTGAAACTGAAATTACAAGTGATTACAAGGTAAGTACTACCAGCTTTGTCTGTCAAAGGTTGAACAGGAGTTCAGATAATGAGATGTGTGGAATGGAATTCACCTTATACAGCCATTCCCCCTTCTTAGCTCCAATAAAACCCCAAGCTTAAGGGATAGATATTAATACTTCATAGTGCACATTTTGCCCAAGAGAAGGGTAGTGCTACAACTCTATATATCTTTTGAGCCTTAGTATTGTGTGTTATGTTGGTCAGTTTTTACACATAATTGTATTGTTTAAAAGATACAATGATGAGGTGGTGATGTTTGGGAATTTCAGGTGTTTGATCCAATTTAGTATTTTGGGGTGTGGGTCATGGTAGAATTAGGTATTGTGACTTAGTCTTGTTTTTAAGCAGCCATGGGGGAGGAGGTCTTTATAACAAACTAGAGTACAAATGCTCAAAAATCTTTGCTTTGAATTGGGTTTTGGAGGTTATTTTCTGAATTTTATCAGTAAAATTGCTGAATGTAACAGCATGGATGAGGACCACTTTTTGCATTGATTTTTGTGCTTAGAATAAAAGGCAGTCCTCTGGAAAAGTAGAACTGAACTTGCACTTTTGCTGGAAAGCACCAAATGTTTTATGAATGTAAATAGTCTCTACTTCTGCAAGAGATTTTTTTAAAAGCATGGACTTAAGAGCTGGTTTAGGTATGTCAGATGATAGTTTTTTCAGAAAGTATTCTCAGTCTTTGAGGATTTTTTTTTTAATCTAGCCAACCCTCTAGTAGAGTTTAGCTGCAGAAAAAATAAAATAGTTCTTAATGTTGATATGAACATTGATCTTTATAACAGAATCAGTGAGTTTTTCTTTGGCCCCTCCCAGTTTTTAGAATATTACCTTGTCAATCAACCTGAGTTTGCCTATGTTTTTGATGTTATATGAATTCCAGTTGTAACCCCTGAAATAATTTTAACAACAATTCTGTTTGTGATGGAACAATTTTAAGTAGGACCTCTTAACCATATGTCAATAATAACATTAGTTGTTGCTCTTCTGGTTTCATTAAGTGGCCACTTGAACTTAGATGCGTTTAAATGAACCTAATATTTACATTATCTAGCAGCTTATTTTGTTCTTTGAATATAAAAGGAAGAAGGTTGGGAGAGGGTGATGAAATAACAGCAGGAAGGCATCCATATTGACAAGTTGTGACTTCTGGAGCTTTGGCTGCTATTCCAGTATCTTCTGCATCTAAGCCCTGTATCTGTATACAAATTTTAGGAGGCCTTAAGAGAAAACCTGCTTGGGCATTCTGATTCCACGATTACATTTGTGCTGCCAGTAAACGTATCCCATTACATTTTAGTGATGGATATTAAAAGAAAACCAATTACTGTGACTCCCTTAAATAAAAAGGCTA